AAAAAAAAAAAAAAGAAAAATTTTCTTACAGTATGTTATAATTGAAGTTATCCATAAAGATTTAAAAATAGAAAAACACAATATTTCAAAATTTTTAATTTTTATGAAAAATTAAAGTTTTAAGTAATTAGAAAAAGGTAAATAACAGCATGATTAGAATGATTTTCTATATTTTACGTAATGAATTTTCTATTCCTTTAAAACCACAAATTTTCATACAAATCTAGGCTGGTATAGATTTGATATAACTGTCATCATTTAAAAATTATTAATAAAAACTATGTCATTGTTCACATAAAGAAACTAAGCTGAAAGGTTTAATAACTTATCCCAGCTCAGAGAGCTGGTAAGTGGCAGAGCCTGGATTTGAATTACTGCCTCTCTGACGTCCAAGTCTATTCTACTGAGTTGTATGAGCTTAGGAGCACTGCAAAGTGGGTGACAAGTCTCTCTAAAGGAGAAAGCTAGATGAAAAAGGAGATGAGTTATAAAGGTAGAAGAAAATCATATTTAAAAGTAAGAATAGCATTCGGAGAAAAGAGACTGTGCGGGTAGAAAAAAGATGATTTAGTGTTAAAGGATGAGATATTAATAACTTTATACTTACAGGCATAATTTGACATAAGTCGTCAACGGTAACACTGCAGATGCCTACTGGTATATTTTGATCACTAGGAATGATGGGGGGACTCAATAATTTCTTGTAACAGCAGGGAGGAAAACGAATATCCAAGGTGATGCTGTTATAAACAGCTAGTCCCATAAGCTATGCATACTAAATGTTAAGCATTAACATAAAATCCATGACAACAAATGAGTTCTGAATTATGCATCAGTCTATTTCTTGCATACTTTTTTCAGATTTAACACTGACTTTCTAATTAGTCTCACATATTTCCTTTCCCCTCTTTCATTTATTTCCCCTTTATTTTACATAATATAATTCCTTGATTACAAAAAGTCATGTAAAAAGGAGTGGTTTAGTTGATAGTATTCAATGATTTCCCTAGAAAAGTTTATCTAAGATCACAACAGACAGCAACTTCAGACATGCCTGTAATTACTTAACATATAAAAAAAATTTTCTAAATTTAAACAAAGATGTTGGCAATTTTTTTTTTTTTTTGAGACGGAGTTTCGCTCTTGTTACCCAGGCTGAAGTGCAATGGCGCAATCTCGGCTCACCGCAACCTCCGCCTCCTGGGTTGGCAATTTTATAAGCAGCAGCAATGGTTTATTGAGTAGAACTCACTGTAGAATACTGATTTTGGAGATAGCCATTTTAGTGATTTTAAAATTAAATACAGACTATGTGTGAAGAGCTAAACTAATAAACACATGGATATAAACATACTATTGATAAATTAATAGGATAGATAATTTCCAACAGTAAAACTTGAAAGACATGTTGTATTACTTGGAGTTTCTCAGTGTGAAAGTTAAAAAGCTATAGGTGCCATAAATTTTGCTTATGATTATTTATTAGTTATATGGTGTAATGTAACATTCATTTATGGAAAGAGGTTTTAGAACAAATTTCACAATATATCAACAGTCAATTATTATATAAAGTTATTAAGAAGTAATTCATTTTATAGGCTCATAAGGAAATCTAAACATATGGACTAGGTAAATTACTGAAAATAACTTTTAAAAATTGGAAGACCACCAAAATTTCAATTTGCTAAGGTGTAATGAAGGCTGATAATAAGGCTTTATACTTCAAAATCATTGTATTAGAAACATAACACTGTCAGAACTACCAGAATAACACATCTTTGGTCCTGAAATTTTAAACCTGGAGATATATATGAAACCAACTATATTTTCTCAATGATCATACCTGTTATTTCTCAAATTTCAGTTCCCAACCCCTTACTTGACCACAATCCACTCACATCTCACATTTCTCTGATATAGTATCATGCTTTTTACAGCATCAATTTGCTTTCTATAGGTTTTATATTTGTGTGTGTGATAAACACACATAATAATGAGTAGCAATTATAATTTTTAGACTTAATTGTTTAACTTGAAATACGGAACATCTAAACATGCTTAATATGTTCTTTTGGGTAATGACTAAATAGAAACGAATGTCTATTGCAAAAAAACAATTAGCAAATTCATAATTTTATGTGTACTATCACTTAAAAATATAACTTAAAACTTTATTACAAATATTAGAATCAAAATATCATCCAAATCTAAATTGTGACATATGAATATAAAGCATGACAAACATGTAAGTATGAAAATTTAAATGGATCATAGTGTAGTGACAAACATCAATGATTAGGGCCTTCAATGAAGTTGAAACATTCCACAAATGATTACTGTAGATACTAGAATATAAACAGGAGTCTCGGAATTGTTAAGTGTTATTCTTTTTGTGGAATTTAGCACTTTGGACCTTTAGACATGACAATATATACAAAATTTCAAGCTGAGTTTACTATCTCAATGTGTAGTTTGTCCCCTAATACCCTTTCTTTTATTAATCTGGTCTCTCAATTTCCATATATATGCCTTATAATTTATTCCAACAGATGTTAACAAAGACAGACATTCAAAGATGGCCCTTCATTCATTTTCAGATGGTATTTTCCATAACTTTCAGTGTGCTCATTGCTGCTCTGTAACAAGCCCAGCACAATTTAGCCGTTTTTATTCTCATCATTCCCTCAGCTTATAATGTCCCACTACTCTCATCAGCCATATGTTAATCAAATATAATTGTTCCATTTTTAAATCTCTATCCTCTCTGGGAGAAATACATTGTGTATTTTCCTTCTCAGAACTCCTTAGCACTTACTGCCATATGGTCATTTGACTCTGACAACAGATGAAGAATTTCCCCCCAGCTTTAAATCTTCTTATCTCCAGTGCTTGCTTATTTATTTACTCTTCCTTCCTTTTTTCCACAATTATATTTCTTGGACTCTAAAAAGCTAATGTAAAAGGCATCTTGTCCAATCTCCCACCCAATGCAGAAATGCCCTTTACAATATATCTGATAGGAATCACAGGCTTGCAAATGGACTTATAAAATTTAAAAAATACTATAAAATAACACCATATGCTTTAAATATTCTAATTCCATTCAATTTTTATGGATCCTTCCTTTATGTTTCAGGATTTGGAGGCATATTAAAGAGCTAGATTTAATACCCCAATTTCAATTCAGTAAACTGAGGGAAATGAGCACAAAGTAAAAGAACAGAAAAAATACTTCATTATAAATGGAAAATACTTTGATTTTTTAAAAAAAGTACCTTAAATTAGTGATAACTTCAATTATATGTAAAATAGGAAAGAACCATTTTTATTTTGAGATAAGGTTTTCAGAAAAAATCAAACTCATTTCTTCGATTAATTAAATCTACTAACATATAGTGATATTAGACATAATGAGGATTACTGAAAATCTAATAGTATATTTGACAATAATATTTAATTTGGATAAAATGGTTAAAGAAAACAGTTTTCTAAAATACAGAAAAAGTCTTTAAAAATCTCTAATCTATTAGCACCTCCTAGTGGAAAGTTTAAAGGATACAATTCCAACCAATCGGAATTCAGAATAGTTGTCACATTTAAAGCTGCTAAACCAATGGCAATGTGAATCCTTGTGATATGTAAACATGCCTAAAAAAACACAAAAATAACTGTATTATTAACATGATTGAATTAAAAAAGTGGTAAACATGTACATGGCATCTCATCTATTAGAAGCTAATCAATTCAATAATTATTCTGTTATAAACCATCTTTCATGTTAAAATTTCAGATTTATTTAAGGGACTATATATTTGCAAATCTCAGCAAATATAAATATATATATTAAATATATAGGGAGAACATTTTATTTTCTTGAACCATGGGTAGAAACAGGATAAAAAGATAGAAACTAATCAGATAACTTTATAAAAATTATAGTTTCATAGATTATAAATTATGATCAAAATTAATTTTGAGGATATCTGGAGACTTCAATTTATCACTATCATCCCTATTTCCCATCACATACACATATAGAAAAGAAAGAAAGCTAAAGAATAAGGAAAACACTGAAAAGTCTCCTTTGAAAAGTTTAACAGATAGTAAGGATTATACAGGTAGTTTCTGTAAAATAAAAATTAAATTTCAAAGGCTTATTTTTTCTCCATGAATTCTTATTTATTAAAATGACCCATTAATGAAAGAGGCTTTAAATGTTACTATAGAGCAAACTATAGTTTTGTATTTTAATTTGAAATGTTTTTTATTTCAATGACAAATTAAATTTTCATGCATTTGTCTTATTCAGAAAAGATATAGATGTCTCCTCATAAATGTTTATTTTTAATCTTGATATATTTTGTGTAGGATTCCCAGTAAGAAAATCAACTGATCATCAATCAAACAAGTTTTTAAAATGTAAATAACCATCCTTAAACAATTATTCAACATTTATGATTGACAAAAAGTCTGCAAAATCATAGAGTAAGTTAAAAATAAGGGTGAACTATTTGACTCTAACAATTATGAAGAAACATGGTTTATAAAAAGTATGTTAAATACTTACCATAATCTGGATGAAAAATTTGGCGAATTAGAAGAAGGAACCATTCTTTAGTCAAACCACCCATATCCAAACCAGCTTCCCCTACAAATGTAACTTTCAACTTCTTTTTCAAGTCTGCTCTTTTCCGGGTTAGCTATTTGAAGACATTATACAGGCAGAGGAGAACAAAGGGCAGAGAAAAAAAAGTATTAACTTTTTAAATCCCGGGAAATGTGTTACATAGTATTTTTTTTTTTTTTTTTTTTTTTAGATGGAGTCTTGCTCCGTTGCCCAAGTTGGCACAATCTCGGCTCATTGAAGCCTCCATCACCCCGGTTCAGGTGATTTCCCTGCTTCAGCCTCCTGAGTAGCTGAGACTACAGGCGCGTGCCACCATGCCTGGCTAATTTTTTGTATTTTAGTGGAGACAAAGATTGACAATGGCCAGGATGGTCTCGATCTCCTGACCTCATGATCCGCCTGCCTGGGCCTCCCAAAGTGTTGGGATTACAGGCATGAGCCACTGTGCCTGGCCTTGGCAGTCTTTAACTTATTTGCAACGCTACAAAACTCCATCCATCCATTCATCCAATAAATCTGCCAAACACTGTGCGAGCTAGATGTTTACTATGTTTTATAGATCAGGAAACAGAATTAGAGAGGTCAGGTACCTTGCCCAAAGTACTGCCTCCTGGTATCTACTGCCTTCAAATTTTTAATTTAGCACAACATAAAATAATTCATTTCTTTTTCTTTTTTAACTCCCCGTCAATGCTCAACTTTAAAAAATGACATAGCTAGGGCTGGGTGTGGTATCTTGAGCCTGTAATCCCAACTACTTTGGAGGCTGAGGTAGGAGGATGGATTGAGACCCTGAGACCATGAGTTTGAGGCAGCAGTGGGCTTTGATTGTACCACTACACTCCAGCCTGGGTGACAAAATACAACTTGTCGCCAAAAAAAAAAAAAAAAAAAAAAAATCACGTAGCTAATCAGCCATTATCTTCTAATAACCACATATTAAGATCTAGCTGGAGCATTTTTATGATAATACATGAAAATGCAAGCAAAGTATGCTAGAGGTGAATAGGCCCAGTATAATATAGGTCAGATCTCTAATTTTATATAGTCTGAGACCTGGAGAAGTTAAATGACGTGTTACACATATAACCAGTAACAAAGGTGGGTCTGGAATCTAGGTTATATACTAAGAAACATTAATTACTCATTTAAGTGTTCTACATCAAACCCTTTTCTGGGGCATTCACGAACTATTAATAAACATACAAACATGAATATAAGACAATTATGGATATAGACCTGATTTTGACTATGGTATCAAAATTTAAGGAAGCTTGGTATTTAACAAGATCTTCAAAAAAAATCTAAGGAAGCATACTTATTGACATACAGAAATAAAAATAAGTTTACCAGGGCCTGTTGGGGGGTGGGGGAGCTAGGGGGTGGAGGGATTGGGGAGGAATAACATTAGGAGAAATACCTAATGTAGATGATTGAGGGATGGATGCAGCAAACCACCATGGCATGTGTATACCTATGTAACAATCCTGTACAAGTTGCACATGTATCCCAGAACTTAAAGTATAATAAAAACAAAACAAAAACAAAACAAAAAACAAAAACAAATTAACAAAATAATGAATCTAAAAAAAAGTTTACAAGATTTTTATAATAAATCATATTATAGAATTTTCAGCTTTAATTAATTAATATTATTTTGGAATAAATTATACCTCATCAAGTGAATCGCTAACCAGATGTGTCCGTCTTACTTTCATATTTAGAAATAACATATTCATATCAGGTCTCTGTCTTCGAGATACTTTATCCACCAGACTTTGCTAATTAAATAAGAGAGTAAAAATTTTTACTTTTACTTAGACTATAATTTCATTTAAAACATTTAAACACTTTAGTAAAAATAATTATTGTCTATGCCATTTCTTATATAAACAATTTTATAAAAATAAATTACACACATTTTGATTTGTGAAAATGACTATTATTATTTCATTTTGTAACAATGATAACCAAACAAGATCCAAAGTGGAGGACCAAAAATCATTCACCTTTTATAGTAAAAAATTTTGCATCAGTTTCCATATGTCTCATCTCTTAAATAACAAAGTTTTCTGTTTAATAAATACAAATAGAAAATGGGAACATTTAAAACAAGCTATGTATTTATGGTGATAAACCTGGACTTATGATTTTTTAGATATTGAATTTTCTCTAAAGGAACAATTAGTCTACTTTAAAAAAGTGACTTGTCAACATATATCAAAGACCATAACAATGTTCATATCCTTTATCCCAATAATCCTTCCATTGAAAATTCTAACTTAGAACATATTTTATACAGTACAATGTTCATTATAGCATTATCTATAAAAACAAAACTTTAGAAATATCTTAAGTACATATTGAACTAATGAAATATAATACAGCTAGTAAAAAATAATGGTCATAAAAACTATGTAAATAGTACAAGGAAGGTACAACTGAAGAAAGCAGGAAATAAAATTGTGTTTACAATACTATTTCAACTCTGTTTCTTTTAAAGATACTATAGAAAAAATATAAAAAGAAAATTTACTAAAATGTTAATGGCTTTGCTTGGGCAATGGAGATATGAGTGACTCAAAATTCTTTTGTCACCATTTTTCAAAATATAGGCACTAAATATGTGAAAAACAACATATTTTAAAATATAAGGAATAAATGTCATTTTTCATATAAAATCTACATGCTTATATATTTAAATAGTCTTAGACTATATCTCTTTTTGGTAACAATGAAAAGTATTGTTCAGATTAAAGCTAAACATTTCAGACATTTTAAATACATGCAGCAATTTGCTTTAATAGATAACATTTTAATATCACAAATCTACAATTTAAGGCTACTTATGATTTTGAAGATTACTATAATAAAATACTCTGATTCAGAGCCTTCTCCATTTCTCCAATATACAATGCTAAATGCTATTAACAGCCTTTTGCTTCTCTGTGTCCTCACTTATCAAAGAAGTCTGCATTCGTAGGATAGTGTCCTGTGTTGCGGACTGTTTTTCTGTTCCCAGTCTAGTTCCTGGGCACTGTCACATTGGAAATAACTAATAAACAAATTTATGCTAGGATGCTAATGGCAAACAAGGTTAGTAGCTAATCCTCCCATCAGGAATTCATATTTACTGGAAAATGCTCCAAATGAAAAAATAACCCAACAGTGATACAATTCTCGACAGTCTGACTGAGGAAATTATTTTAGGTTAGAAACTTCTTTTGCATATTTAAATTGTACCATTTAAGTTCTGTTTACACTGACTATTTGTAAGACTGTCCTTGTATCAAAATAGTCACCAGTCATTAATTTCAAGTGATATGGCAATTTACAAGTTAAAATGTTGGGAAACACCCATAAAAAGCTGAATGCCGCCTAACTCTCAATGTCAAGTGTCTACTCCTTCGTTTCCATGCTGTGCAGAAAACTTAGCCTGTAACAGTCTACACCTGCCACTCTCATTCTTTAAAGTAGAAAAATTCCACAAAGAGATATTTGATATCTTAAGTGTGAGTGACACAGAAAAAACTGCTTAGTCTTGCTAGTTTAATACAAACTAGCTCATTCTGTTATGTACAAAAGCACTGTAGATTTTTTTACAACTATAAAAAAATCGTAGACCAAGTTGAAAAAAATATTTAAAAGGCGCATGACATTGTATGAGTACAAGTAACAGAAAATGTCAGAGTAAGTAGCTATATAGGCTAATCATTGAGCCAATATCTACCCAAGATTAAGTAACAATTCTGGTGCTGAAGATACCTGTTTAAACTCATTCTTCAGGGGGGTAGTGTGGCTTTGGAATTCCCTTGATGGGCATAGGCAATAACATTTCTTCTAATATTCCCATATTCAGTATAAGATGACTTTGGGATATCACCAGTTAGTCAAATCTTTTGTCCTTCTCTGTGATAGAAAGAAATACTCACCTTCTGGGAACTGAATTACTGAAGAATAAACATTCTTATTTTTTATAGTATTTTGATTATAATTTATGCTTTAGGATTCTTTTTATGTTCTTGAAAAAGATGGAAATCATTTCTTTTTACTCTATATTTCTTTTTCAATTTAAGAAGACCACAGCCAAGCTTCCCTCTTTCAAAATGTGGGCAATTACATCACACAAGCAGATGATTGAAATACATAATCACTTAAGCATATAGTTTAGAGCTCTAACAAAAAAACCTCATTGAATCTGATATTTATTAGATAAAGTACATAACTTTACTAGCCTGAGCTGAAATACAAGGGGTAGGGAGTGGTAAAAACAGACTGAGCAATAACTTCATACTGCTTTACAATTTGCCTAAACTCAGTCTGATTGCTATTTCCAGCTTCTGTGGGTCTCCCTGTACTTTGGTTTCCTAAGAACCAATAAAACATCTTTCACATTCTTGGGACATATTTTTCAGTCCTCCAAGATATGCTTTTTGTTACATTTTCTACTTTTTTAGTAGTTTCTGATTTTCATAAAACCTATAAAATGTTTCAGGGGTTTGAGTGGTTTGCCTAATGACACTGTTTCACTGCAGCACTCAATGCTCTGCTGGTTATCATCTAAGGTTGGTGGTATGGTATCTGCAAAATGAGGTCCAACAAGCTCTCAGTAATACGAATCTGTGAGAAGCATTTACTCTTCCTACTATATTTGTAATATAATAAGAAGCTGATCAGAAGAGATGAGTTATCTTGTCTCCCAAATTGTTAATAGTTTTTAAGTGCTTTTTGGGTGAGTATAACACGAATTTTGCTTTTAACATTCCTGATTATGCTAGAACAATTCACAAGACATTTAAATTATTATTTACTATATTGATTATAGTCAGCATAAATATGTTTTTATAGCTGACTTACCCTTGCGATGTTTATCATCTGTTGCTCTGAGTCTCTTTGAATAATGATTTTTTTTGCAGCTATAGAAATAACGAATGGGTACTGACAGAAGGAAAACCTGCTCAACAAGTGAAAAAAGAAAAAGCAAAATGGTGTATTTTTAGCAAAATTATACTAAGGGAATCTAAGGTACCCCTTGTAGCAATATAAAACATTACTTCTGGATTGTGTTTTACATATACGAAATGACTGTATGTGTATCACTTCTTTTAATTCTCACAGTCATGTGAAGAATGTATCATTATTAGATGTGCAATCCCTTTATTCTCTGCAGAAGCCACATCAAAGGTTCTGAAATGTGTGCTAACCACTTACATTGTCTATACAAATGATTTCAGTGTATATCATCATCTGTGAAAAACACAGCCCACACCAGAAACAGGAGAAGTGTTGGTGAAATAGTACAGAAAACCCATGTGCTCAAAATTAATATAAGACTCCATCATTATATGGCAACTTCTGATGTATGAGCTTTAGAAATGAAAAAAATCTAACAATAACTATAGTATATAAAAAGTAAATACATTTAAGACCAATAAAAAGAAATCAGAAATGTATGTTGCATTTAGCATTATATTTAATGGTGTGGTAATCGGAAACGGTATGTATTTGTAATTACACATTATAATTAAAAGTTATGAAAATAACCTCTCCTGGGCTAGAACATTCCATGCTATACAAAAAAGCCACAAACTACACAGAGATAAATGCATTTAGAAATAATGAATATGGCAGCAATGACACTTCAGGAGTTGGACTGCCATTCAAAGTAACTACAATGAATCCATCAGTTAAAGCTGGAATCCATCTGAGCACAGTTGGCTGGTACAACGGTGACCACTGAGAAAAAAGGCATTATGAGGAAAAAGGATATAGCTTTAGTGTAAACTGAAAATGAGATGGCTTTTATCATGGGACAAAATTGTCAATAAACGTTAAAAGTTCTTCAGTATTGGTGTATAATTACTTTGAATCATTAATGCTAACAAAAAATTGGAAATAAAAAGAAAATACAATGAACTTAGTAACATATGTATTAGTTTTATTATGTACTTTAGGACAGTGGTTCTCAACCTTTCCCTTGTCATGCACAAGAGAAATGATACTTTGTGAATATAAAAATAAACTGAAATAAACAGATGGGGCTACTCATGGCCAGAGTGACTTGCCATAGGGCTCCTGTCCCCTTCTAGTTTCAGGCTGGCTACCCAAGGGTTGAAGGGATCCTAGTATTAAAACCCTAATGTAACTCATTCTTGGTACACCAGTGTTGCAGCACAGTTTAGAGGAAGCTCTACATTATAAGATGTTATCGCTGAAATATGCATAATAATTCTTGGAGTTTTGTGGTTGTATCGACAACATGTTATTAAAATGGAAGGAAAAAGTATCTTTCTAAAATAAAATTTGCCAAGAAAATATCCATCACACTGACCAGGGTCCCCAGTACTTAAATTCTTACTCAGTTCTGACTGTTCAGATGTGCAATGAGATGTGTCCAGAGGCCATTCCATGTTTCAGGCCATTTCTGATAAAGAGGGTCCTTGGAGAGTTTAACCAATTTACAAACTAATCAGTGGTTTTGAGGTTACTTATATCCACACCATATCTCTTTACTCAGATTCCTCTAGAATTAAATTTAATCTCCTGAACATCTCATGGCTTGAGGAGAAATTATGTTTGGAATAGTCTTGCTAGTTTAATCCAAACTAGAAGTATGGCTATCAAGTGCAGCGTATTAAATAATTTGGTGACTGTTTTACAAATCTATTAATTATTATGATAAATAAGCTCTGGCAAGGCCCTTTCGCTTTTCATATTACACCTAATGGACAACCACTTTTTCTTACAAAAGAAAGGTGAAATGAAACGAATCTATGTGTGTGTCTGTGTGTGATCAATATATTAGATCAGGCATCTGCAAACCATGGCCCTGAGACAAATAATGGCCTACAACCTGTTTTTGTAAATAAAGTCATTTGGGACATAGACACATCTATTAATTTACATCCTGTCTAAGGCTACATTTGTGCTAAAATAGTGAAACAGAATCTCTATAGTTTGTAGTGCTGAAAATATTTACCATCTAGTTCTTTACAGAAAAATTTTGTTGAGTCCTGTGCATAGAATAGTAAGAGATAAGAGACTGCATACTAAGATAGAACCTCTTCCTTCTTGAAAAGATGCTATTAACCAAACCAAAACCAAATTATCATGTATATAAATTCAAAATATAACAGAAAAAGAAATTACTTTAATAAATATAATGGTGTTTCAAGGCTATCTGAAATATATTTATGTATTTATATGTAAAGGTATGTGTAAACTTTATATAAACTTAAAATCTAGTCATTCTTTTGAATAGTGTTTCATTTAGGTGGATAATCAAAGGAACTTTTGTTCATACCTGTGAGAGTTTCCAAAGTTTTGCCAAGTATGATATTCTTCCATGAGATCAATGTGATCCAATGTAGAATTATAGAAATCAGTATAAGGAATAAGGGGAGGGAGAACTAAATTGTTTGCAGTATCTGTAAAGATAAATTCTCACATAAAGACCTTTTCCAACATGCACAAGATTCATTCTAATTATAAAAACATTATTTTAATGTCTACTAAATAGTCTTGACCTAGAAACTCCTTTTTAAATAACTGCAGCTCTAAACGTAAAGGGTAACTTAAAAATTGTGGTTTAAATGCAACCAATAGTTTCTTATTTAAAAAAAAAAACTTGTAGTGACGATTACAATAGTATTAAAGGGAATATGCAGATGGCCATTTGCTCCCATTTCTGTGTGTTCTCTCCTAGGGGTCCCTCAGTAGTTGATGGAAGTTCTTTTTTTTTTTTTTTTTTTTTTTTAGAAATCACTACACAGAGCAGCTCATATGCACTTAATTGCCACAATACAGAATACTGCCCACTAGAAGGCATAAAGCTTTTTTCATGCTTACAAACTGGGAAATATATTATCAAAGTAGAAAATAAAGTATAACTTTTTCCTTCACACTTTGCAAGTTTACTTTGTGCGATTCATTTTGCTTCACGTTTTTAACATTTTGGTGGTTTTTGTTCGTGATTTTGCTATTTCAAAATGGCCAAGCGTAGTGCTAAAATGCTGTCTAGTGTTCCTAGCAAGAAGGTTGTGATGTGCCCTACAAAGAAAATATGTATGTTAGAGAAGCTTCTTTCAGGCATGAGTTATAGTGCTGTTGGCCCTGAATTCAATGATAATAAATCAATGACTTCTATTAAATAAAGTGTGTCTTTAAAAAAACACTCACAAAGCAAAGTTATATATTGATTGGTTGACAAAATCACAAAGCTTTTTTCATGCTTATAAATTGTAAAATTTATTATCAAAGTAGAAAATAATTTACAACTATTTCCTTCAAAGAAATGATTTAAAATTTAAGAATGCCTCTATAGTCTTTTGAAATCCTTAAGAAATATCCCTAATATGTAACAAAAGAAAAGTAAAAAATGATAGAATAATAAAAACCTACTAAGTAAAGCCAACACTTTAGCAGCTGATGGAATCCACCAGGAACACTTTGTTATAGGTGGAAATTCTTCAGGCTTTGCAGGAAACAGGCGTAAAGAAATAAATTGTAGCAATCTCTCTACCAGTTGTTTGAACCTCTTCTGGGACAATCTGGTAAAGATTTCAAAATAATTGCAATCAAAATTCACATTTTCTGTTTCCAAAATTATCTGTTAGATATCAAACTGCATCTTAAGCCACAACATTTTAAACTATTCCCTCAAATTTTGTTTCTTAAATTGCCAAACATTTGAAAAGATACAAAATCTTACCTTGAATATTGTCTTAGTTAAATGAGAAATAAACACCAACATTACTATAAAGTTAGTAACATTTTATTTTTAAGACTCAATATTCAGTCAGTCTTTGTTATTCATAGATGCTATACGTCTACATTTGCCTACTTGCTAAAATGTAATTGTTAATTCCCAAACCAATACTTGTGTTTCCACGGTCATTTGTGGAGATGTGAAAAATGTGAGTCTCCTGACATGCACATTCCCAGCTGAGGTCAAACAAAGTGATGTTCTGCCTTGTTTTAGCTCAATAATCTCTCTTTGCAAGTGTCCTTTATGTGATCCATTTAGCTTCATGTTTTTAACATTTTGGTGCTTTTTGTTGGTGATTTTGCTATTTCAAAATGGCCAAGTGTAGTGCTAAAATGCTGTCTAGTGTTACCAATAAGAAGGTTGTGATGTGCCCTACAGAGAAAATATGTATGTTAGAGAAGCTTCTTTCAGGCATGAGTTACAGTGCTGCTGGCCCTGAGTTCAATGATAATGAATCAATGACTTCTATTAAAGTGTGTCTTTAAAAAAACACTCATAAAGCAAAGTCATATATTGACTGGTTGACAAAAATGTGATCACAGGCTCACAGGAACCTAACCCTGTATTTTCTCTTGAAGCAATGGTTCTGTATTTATTAATTCTATGTTTGTGGTGACTTTATAGAACATAACTACTATGAATAATAATTTACTGTATTTAAAATATCTTTTGGAAATATTTTGCCTTTCTAGGTTTTATCAGTCATAGAGAAGTCATTGTTCATGTGGGTATAGTTCTGTGAAAAAAGTATTATGCTTTTACAAATTGATATTGATGGCTAACCTATATTTTACAATGACATTTTTAGGTAAGGAGAAAGCACCATTTAAATAATGGTAAAATTTATGAATTTATAGATAGAAAATAAAAAGACATACATTAAAATAGTAGTATCTGAGCAAATCTAATTGCCATCTTTGAGATATATAAATAAACAACAATAGGAATGTGCTACATAAAAAGTGAAGGCAGTAGGCAGAAATTCTCAACAGCTTGTGCAAGCAAATTGGTTACTTACAGTAAAAACAGATTTTTCATTACCCTTTATATAGTGCTAAAGTAGATTTTTATAATTGGCTTTTGAAGCACTGTGAATATAAGCACCATTTCTAACAACCTGAAAATATTTAAATATATTTTATTGTAAAATTACTAATACCAAATTTAAAATTGTGAGACTAAAAAAGTTCTTAATATCATAGAATGATTTACTTTTTAAACCAGTGAACTAGGAAATGATGGTCAGCTTCCACTAAGGTAGCTATCTGTCGTAGCAAGTGAGCATAGATGACATACGTAGATGTGTTATTAAACTGAGGATTCTGAAAAAGATATTAAAGATAATTGTGTTAAAATTCTGTTAACATGTAAAAGGAAAGACACTAAGCTTAATAAGTGGTAAATTCAGGAAACAAAAATTGAGATTATAAAATAACAATAATCTATTTGTTATTTAACAGAGACTTTCATTTACACTGTGGCTATACAGTGAAAAGAGCATGGGCATGGAGATAAGACAGATCTGAGTCTGAGGGCTAATTCTACCACTTACTAGCTATGCCCTTAGGCATGTTCTGTACACTTTTATTCTCAATTTCTTTATCTGTAAAATGGGAATGATATTATCTATCTTAAGGATTGTTTTGAGTATTGAAAAAGAAAATGTATATAAAGCACCTTCATAAAAAGTGCCTTCATAAATGGTACCAATCACTATCATCCAATTAAAAGCATAAAACCTGGGTTTTCCTCGATTAAAAGCTGGAAAAATGAAGTAAGGGCTGGTTGTGAAACTTTTGCCATTGTAAAATGAGTTAGCCTCATATCTCACAAAGAACAAGGGGAGAACCACATACAGCTTCTGACGACTTTTAAATGATAAAGGGACACTGAAAGAATACTTGTAAACTAAGAAAAACCTCTAGTTACGTTTCCAAAATCTAAAATTCTAGCACAATGTACATTTCAGCACATCATGGAAAAATAAATACTATTAAAAAACACCTCCTAAAATTGTGAAAAATAAGAGAGGACCATGTGTTTTTCAAAACTGACTGACAGAACAACTCAAAATTTGGGACTGACTTTAATCGATAACTTCATCTGGTTATGGTTCTTGAAAAGAACAAAATATAAGCAGAGCTTATGGCTGATCAATACACTCACCTAAAATCTGAGCTCTGAGTCATCTTTCTAGCTTTTACTATCCTACATATCTTTGTTTCTTTTTTTTGTAATTTTGAGTTTTGGCTCCTCTCTTACCTCTTTTCCCTCCTTACATTTCTCTTCTTAACTACCTGTTGGTCATTTTCCCCCCTTTTCCACTTTTTCCTTTTTCTTCTTTCTCTACTTTCTCTATCCCTACACTGCATATTTTCTTTCATTAGACATATTAATATTATAATACCATAATATTGTACTAAACACTATACTTAATATAGTTTTCCTTACTTTTAAATGAGATAATAATATACATGGACAACTTTTATAAATTGTAAAGAATAATGTAAATGTATTACCAGTATGCTAGCTATGGTAATAATGTATTTCTTCCTCAAAAAATAATAAAAAGTAAAAATTGCTTTTCATTTGTCTGGATCTTAATTTCTTTTTTTATCTATTAATCTGTATCTATCAAGAGGAAAAGGTTCATCATCTTTGCTTTACAGCAAATTAAAAAAAGAACTCTTATCTTTCCATGAGAATTCTAACTGAAGTTATTGAAAAATACATAGTGAAATGGAAAACATACTAGAAGGGAAAATAAAAGAAAATCCTGAAGCCCACTACAAGTAGTTACAAGAAAGAGGTTTGAATGGAGGAGGAGGAAGTGCTTCCATTCTGTTTGTTTCTGAATACTCTGGCGGGAACTAAATCAAAATTTTAATCTCACACATAATTTAGCTTCTGATTATTTATTTGTTATGGCTTTAATCTTCTGGTTACAGGTAACTGTAATTCTAAAAAGAATCAATAATGTTGCCTAAAATGATACTTAATATTTAATATCATTTCAGATATACATGTAGAGATGGAGATCTGACTTAGACAACTTCAATGAAGTTCTGGTTCTCTTACCTGTAAAAGTATAAAATATGCTCTAAGATCATCTTTTGTTCGTGGACTGAAAAAGAAACAAGAATAATTTATTATGGATGAATGTTTAATCTCATAGCATCTAATTTAAAAAGACCAATAAATGTTTCTATGATGACTGAGTTGAGAAAAGCCAAAAACTAGGCTTAAATTAAAATGCATTATTATTGAAAAGTGACATGTCTATAATATGCTGGGAATACAAGTGCTTCTGTGCCTCTCCTAGGCTGGTTCTAAAGATACCTAAAGACTGGGCTAAATAGGCTATTACATTTTGTGAAGTAAATATGATTAAATCTGGAAGTAGTTAGGAGTGTAATAAAAAATCATCAATTTGAGAATACTTAGGTTTTTGTTTTAGTAAAGGATAATCTTTACTTAAGAACATTTATGTATTAAAGAAAGAAAATATGCTTGTGTTTATAGGTCCATTACTAAAGTGATATAGAAATGTCTGTAAATCAAATCATACTTTAAATGTATCAAGTATGCTAACGGAAAGAATCATGAAAAGTAACTTTTTCCATCTTAATATGAATTCTCATATTATCAGATTTGACCAAGAACTTTTGTTATTCCCAAGGCTAATAAGTGTTTCTTGCCTGCTCAAGACCTAACTGGTAAATTCTCACAGATATCTGGAAGTAACTTCTTGAATTAAAAATGGTTCGCCTCTTAGACAACCAGATGCAATTCATGATTCCTAACTGGGTCCTGGATTGAAAAACAAAATCCAGATATTAAAGCTTTTGTTATTATCTATGCTGTCGAGTGTTTCTTTCTTGCCCACTCAAGATCTATTTGTATATATCATCTTTGCCTCTAAGTCCTTTCCTATCCTACCTAGAACTTCATAATCTTGCCAAGGTCATTTACGCCCACATAAATTATCAGGCATGTATGATAAATTGTATGAGTAGGTTTGATTTATTAGAATATTTTAAATGATATTTTTACTATAATGTTCAGGAAGCAGTTAACCTCAGTTTGGCCTTAACTCTTCAGTCCTCAGACACTTAACTGAGAAGTAACAGGGTTTTCTTCTCTTTGAGGCTAGTAACTGATTTTCTGAAACACGAGATACAGGAAAATATAATACAAGAAGGTAAATTTTCTTATAATAAGCAAGAGTTCCTAACAGAAAAACAGGCAAATCTGCAATTAAAAACAGGCGAAAGTACATGGAAAACTTATAAAAGAATAAATAAAAATAGCAAACAAATGATAAAATGTTAAGCTTATTAGTATTAAGGAAAAGTACATAAAAATGAGATCCCCTTTTCATTTATCAAATTAGGACAAGTTTTGTTACAAGGAGATACCACTGAGTCAGGCCCTCTGCTGTTAGAAGCGTACATTATCAAAACTGCTTTGTGAAGAAATCTGACAAAATGGATTAAGTGTCTTAAAATGTTTAAACTCTGATATAGTAATTCAATTTCTAAAACAATTTACATAAATGCTCAGAAAAGAAGATTTTTGTACAGAATGTTCACTGTGGAAGTATTCATATAGACAACCATTCTTAGAGAATGTTAGGTAAATTACAATACATTCCTATTCTAGGTTATTAGTTGGACATTAAAACTGTGGTTTAAGAAGGAAAATGCAAACAAATTACTAGAGTAATAAACTAAGGAAAATACCAGTAAGTTAAAAGTCACAAGAAACTATACAGTATGATTTTAATTGTTTTAAAAAGATGACTAGAAAAACACTGCAAAATATTAACATTTTTTCACTTTCTTCTTCTTTTTCTTTTTTTTTTTTTTGAGACAGAGTCTCACTCTATTGCCCAGGTTGGAGTGCAGTGGCATGATCTTGGCTCACTGCAACCTTTGCCTCCAGGACTCAAACAATTCTCCTGCCTCAGCCTCCTGGGTAAGCAGGAATTACAGCAATGTGTAACCATGTCCGACTACTATTTGATTTTTACTAGAAACGAGGTTTCATCGTGTTGGCCAGGCTGGCACTTTCTTCTTTATACTTCTCTGACTTCTCCCTATATAAGTATGAATTCCTTTCAAAATCAGAACAATTAAAATATTATTAAAATATATATGGTACATGTAACATTACATTTAAGAATTCTACTTAGGTATTATTTATTTATTTTTCATTATTTTTTTTCTTTTTTTTTCTCACCACTAACAAGGGAGTATTACTTTTAAACTAGTCTTAATATGAACATTTGAATTATAATTAATGGCATTCCTTTGGCTTTAATAGAAGTTATTATTGAAATAATATACTTTTAATATACGTTAAAATACGGACTTTTAAAAGTACATTTTTATTTTATGCATATTCATGGTTCAAAACATTATCAATTAAATTGCCCATGATTCCTTATATAAGTATCTAATATTTAGTACTGAGAGAAAAAAATACTTTAATAACTGGCCTTATGTGTCCTTATATTAGAAATAAGAAAAATTTTGCTCTGGCTACCAGGAAGCCCAAGGCTAAATTTAATGCTCATTATTTCAGTTAAGTTACTGATGTAAGTACCCATTCCATTTTTGTTATGCATATATATCTGTATAGAAAAAACTTTACATAAAATTTAAAAGAATTCACAGATCTTTTTATGCCCATCTCTAGGTCCTACTGAGAAGTCACAGATCTCAAGTTACACAGCTTTGTTGTAAATGGCTTATGACTCCTTTATCATCTATGTTATTATAACTCAACTAAAACCTTTTCTGAGAGTAAAACAAATATATATATGTTAAAGATATATAAGTTACACATCTATACTGATTAGCTAAATATTGAAAATATTAGTTTACCCTTTCCATTCCCGTAACAGGCTGTTAATGATTCCCTTTAATACTGTCTTCTGAATGTCTTGAGGCTGCATGCAAAAGAAAACAATAAGGTAATTAGGATTATTTACATAGGTGATGTTTATATGTTAATTATGTTTACAGATCTGCTTCAATAGTTAAAATCAGACTTGAAGACTTGGGACTGACACTTATAATAGTACTGATTTTACATTTAAGAACTCTAGAGAGCATCAGTGACATAAGATTACAATATGCATATCCCTGCTATGTGTAGTGTACAACATACACAAACATATATGGTGATGGTTGATGACCAACAGAATTTTTACATAACTGGAAAATAAATTTCACTTTCCCTGACTTGACAGGATAGAATAATGAACATGAATCCAAGAGTAACATGTTTACTAATATAACATTACACTATAGTTTAATAATCTCAATACTAAAAAACTTATTTACTATCAAACAACCCAAGAATAAATAAAAATAAAATACATCTAGATAATACTTTAGTTTATAATAGTATAGAAGCTCCATTAACAAGAAACTTTAAATAATAGTAAAATTTGTGTCATGTTGTTATATGAAAGTGGCAAATGCCAATAAGCATGTATTATGCCTTTATTTAAAACCACAACCATTACTTCCAAGACATGTCTGTCAGCACTCATTCAGCCTAGCTCTATGTCATATACACACATACATATACATATTTAATATATAATTCCTTTCTCTTCCTCTGCTTATAGTAACCCTGCACACCCAGAGAGTACCCCTGCTCAACCACTTATTTAGTGTTTGCCCTTGAGCAACAAAAGCTGCAGGAGAAAAATCAAACAAATGTGCTGACTGGACATACTTTAAGTTTATGACCACAAACCTCAAGAGGACACTCAATACCACTGATAGTCCCGTATTTCTCTAGTTCATTTACTTCTCTACACTTCAAGACAACTATATTTCAAACCTTCTTATATCTCAAATCTCTTAACAACTTCTTCCCAGCATTGTTCCCAGTTATGACCTTGCTACATACTTTAGTGAGAAAGCAGATGCACTCAGATAACAGATGCACTGTCCCACTGTAACTTCTACCAATTTGCCTACAACTGCACTTGACCAAGGCCAACCCCTTCATTTGAGTCCTACATCCCATCGCCTCCCATAACCTTGTTAAGGACATGGTTATTAACGTTTTTTCTTATCTCTCCTGTATCATCCATTTCTCCCGCTCTACTAAAACATTCCTATTAGTATAACAACACAGACTAACATCACTGGCAAAGATTTGCCATTCTTCTCCACTTTGCTCTATGCCCTTGGAGGCTGACTCTGAAGGACTACATCAACTAGGCTCCTTTGCCTTCTGATTGGGTTCAGCTAATAGAAAGCACTAGCAGAAAAGAAAAGAGAGTGAAGTTGGGGTATTTGTTCCCTCAGCTCCCCACCTGCAGGGTCACCATGGGATGGTTGTCATGGGTTGGCTGTGTCCCTAGAGTGAAAACCCCATCTCCTGTAAAGCAGCCCTCCCGCCCACAGCTCATCTCTAGATTCTCCCCTGGGGTACTGTGCTCTCCTTATGGTCTCACTTACTCTGCTAACAACTTTGTAAATAATCTAAGTTACCAATTTGAGTGTGTTGTCTGTTTACTACCAGGACTCTGACTGATATATTGCTTTTATTTAGAACATCTCATTTGGACCATTCATGTACTCTTCTAGCTACCACCTCATTTCTCTGCTTCTCTTCATAGTGAAAGTTCTCAAGAATTATCTGTACTCACTATCTCTTCTTACTCTTTCAACTCATTCCAAATAGGCTTATTAAAGTCTTACTAAAGTCATCAATTATCTATAGCTTATGAAAGACAATGGTCAATTCTCTGTCCAAACCTTACAAAATGTCTCAGCAACATCTGAGAAGGTGGACTACTCCTTTCTTCTTTAAACACTCTGATCTCTCCTTTGTTAATGCCTTATCCATCTAATTAAATGGCAACAGCATCCACTCAGTTTCCTTTCTTGCCTTTGAGTGCCACATTCAATGTACTGGAACTTTTACTAGCTCTATTCCATAATTTATGAGTCGAAACATTTCTCATTATTTTCATTGCCAAAATTGCTAATCCAAATATCAGCTTTTGCTTTAACTACTGCAATGCCTTCCTAACTCCTTTCTCTTGACACACTACAGACCATTTTCTGCTAAGCATCTAGAGAGATCTTTCTTAACTATAAGTGATCTCTGCTTAAAACACTCAATCACTTTCCATTACAATACAATCAAACTCCCATGGGCATATGCAGTCTGATCTCTTACCAACTTAGTGTCTCCTTTCTCCCTAATTCACCATGCTTTAGTCACACAAGTCTTATTTCTGGATCTTCCAATTGTGCTTCCTTCTCAGGGCCTTTGTATTAGCTAAAACTTCTGTTAGTTCATACAGGTATGAACTACTACATTTGGCTAGCTTTTTCTTCTCCACCTTTGGAAGAGTTCAGACCACCTGTCTGGCAGATTATTTCTTAATTGGGGGTTTCTGCTAATTTCTTAGATTTGATTCAGGTTATGCATTTTGGAAAGGAAAACTCATAATGTGTCCTCAGTGTATCACATGAACAAGCATGTAGTGTCAGTTTAGCGATTTATTTAAGAAAATGAGTGAATCAATTATTACTATCATGGTTGCAAATCTTAATTTTTTAACTTTAAATTTCTTCTACATTTATTACTTCAAATTTTACTGAGATTTTAAAATTTTTAATTTTTGTGGGTATATTATTTATGTGGGGGTATATATAGGTTATACGAGATATTTTGATAGAGGCATGCAATGTGTAATAATTACATCAGGGTAGACAAAGTATCCATCACTTCAAGCATTTGTTGTGTTTCAAACAATCCAGTTACACTCTTGTAGTTATTTAAAAATGTACAACTAAATTATTTTTTACTATAGCCACCCTGTTGGGCTGGCAAATACTAGGTCTTATGTATTCTATTTTTTTGAACCCATTAACTATCCACCCTTTCCTCTGCCTTCCCCTCAGTTATCCTTCCCAGCCTCTGGTAAGCATCCTTCTACTCTTAAGCTCCATGAATTCAATTGTTTTACTCTTTAGAACTCATTGATAAGTAAGAAAATGTTATTTTGGTTTTTCTGCACCTGGCTTATTTCACTTAATAAAATAACCTCCAGTTCCATCCATGTTGTTGCAAATGACAGGATCTCATTTTTTTTTAAGGCTGAATAGTTTTCTATGGTGTATATGAACTACATTTTCTTTACCCATTTGTCTAAATGGACACTTGGGTTGCTTCCAAATCTTGGCTATTATGAACAGTGCTGTAATGAAAATGGGAGTGCAGATATTTCTTTGATATACTGATTTCCTTTCTTTTGAACATATACTTAGGAGTGGATCATATGATAGTTCTATTTTTAGTTTTTTGAGGAACCTCCAAACTGTTCTCCATAGAGGCTGTATTAATTTACATTCCCACCAATAGTGTATGAAGGTTCCCGTTCCTCCACATTCTTGCCAGCATTTGTTAATGCCTGTCTTTTGGAGAAAAGTCATTTTGACTGGGGTGACATCATATCTCATTGTAGTTTTGACTTGTGTTTCTCTGATGATCCATAATGTTCAGCACCTTTTCATATGCCTGTTTGCCATTTATATATCTCTTTTGAGAATTGTCTATTCAAATATTTTGCCTATTTTTGATAGGATTATTAGATTTTTAAGTTATTTTTTCTAGTTATATTTTCTTGTTATATTTTGATTATTAATCTCTTGTCAGGTGGGTGGTCTGCAAAATGTTTTCTCTCATTCTGTGAGTTGTTTCTTCATTTTGTTGATTGTTTCTTTTTCTGTGCAGAAGCTTTTTAACTTGATGTGATCCCATCTGTCCATTTTTGCTTTGGTTGCCTGTTTCCTGTGGGGTAGAACTCAAGAAGTCTTAGCCCACTCCAATGTCCCGCAGTTTCCTTTTAGCAGTTTCATAGTTTGAGGTCTTTAAGCATTTAATGCATTTTGATGTCATTTTTGTATATGGAAAGATATGGGTCTACTTTCATTTTTCTGCATAGGGATATTGTTTTCCCAGTAGCATTCATTGAAGAGACGTTCTTTCCCCAAAGTATGTACTTGAAACATTTGTCAAAAATGAGTTCACTGTTGACATCTGGATTTACTTGTGGGCTCTCTCTTCTGTTCCACTGGTCTATACAACTATTCTTACACCATGCTGTTTTGGTTACTATTAAGTCTGCAGTATAATTTGAAGTCTGGTCATGTGATCCCACCATTTTTATTCTTTTTGCCTAGGAAAGCTTCGGTTATTCCGGGTCTTTTGTGGTTCTGTATAAATGTTAGAATTGTTTTTTCTATTTCTGTGAAGATCAGTGGTATTTTGATTGGAACACATTTTACTGTTAAAAAAGCCTTTCTTTGCTCTTACATTTATTTATATATTTACCTCCCTAGCAATAATGTATTTATTGATTATCAATATGGATATGTAATATCAGTATGGATCAGATACTTATTTTACCTAGTCAGTTATAATTCATTATTGTCACTTTTTAATAATTTGCCATTTTAAAAAACTTATTTTAGGTTCCGGGGTACATGTGCAGGTTATATAGGCAAACTGTATGTCATGGGGGTTTGGTATACAGATTATTTCATCACCCAGGTAATAAACATAGTACTTGATGGGTAGTTTTTTGATCTTCACTCTCCTTCCACTGTCCACCCTCAAGTAATCGCCAGTATCTGTTGTTCCCCTCTTTCTGTCCATGTGTACTCTGTTTAGCTCTCTCTTGTGAGAACATGCAGTACTTGGTTTTCTGTTCCTGCATTAGTTCGCTTAGGATAATAGCCTCCAGCTCCATCCATAATGCTGCCAAGAAAATGATCTCATTCTTATTGTGACTTAATGGCATTCCATGGTGTATATATACCACATTTTCTTTATCCAGTCTAAAGTCGATGAGCATTTAGGTTGATTCTATGTCTTTCATATTGTCATTATTGTGAATAGTGCTGCAACAAA